ACATCCATCCCTATCTTCTGCCCCTTTCCCATAGATCTTTTTTTTTTGGAGAAGGGGTGCTATTAGCTAATTAGATAAGGCATTAGCTTGTAACATTCCCTCCCTCCCCCCCCCAGTGGAGGTTGAATTTAATAGGAGACTCTGGAAGATTGAAATGCTTTTGAGACTCTAATGGAACTAATCTAGAATGGTGGAATTTCAGGTACTGTGACAGGTAGTGGCAGAAAGGGAGTCCCTCGGATCGGAGCCCATGGATGACTGATGACTCTGGCTAAGGTCAGCCCTGTTCAGGGAGGACAATATCCACACATTGAAATCACTGGCTCTACCTGCATCAGTCTCCCTGTTCTTCCCCGGGAAGAGTGTTTGACATACTTGGTGTTTGCCCAAGTGATTGCCCAGTAACTCAACCGACACCCATCAAGTCTTCTTCCCTCAGGCATCGTGGCCCACCCATCTCTATTTCCCTTTCTTCCTAGGCTCAATGAAACTCCATTAAACAAGCATTTATTAAACCCCAACTATTTGTTGGTCCCTGGGGAAATAAAAATGGGTGAAAAAGGGGGACCATGTGGGGAAAACCGTCCCAGCCCTCAAAAAGCTTACATTCTCCTGGAAGATCTTGCATTCCACTGGCTCTGTCTGTCTCTGCTTGTTGGTCTGCTTCTCTCCCCTGTCTGCCTGTCTGTCTGTCTGCTTTCCCGTCTTGGTCCCTGCGTTCAGATAAGTGAGATTGACTTAGCTTCTCCAAGAGCCAGCTGAAGAGCTCTTGGCACAGAATTATGAGGATTATGGCAGTGGCCCTGGGGAGGGCACAACACTGGGGGCTTGATTCCTCAGTCAGGTGTTGGGGCGAGGGGGAAGGGGGCACACCTGTGCAGAACCTTGAGGCTGGTATGTGGTTTCTGGTCCACAGGTACCCTACTACAGTTGGCCATGGACTTCTTCCTGGGTCTGAGGAGATCCTGCCCTCGGGCTGGTTCACAGCTCCTTGAGGCTGAGCAACACAGACTTTGTTATTAGCCACTGTACTTTAGTCGAGAGTGGTCTCTTTTCTCCAGACACCCCATCCTTTCTCCGTTTTCTTGACTTCTACCTCCACCCTTGTGGTTGGGTTCTGGGATATCCACAAAAGACCCAGGTCGCTAAAATCTCTCATTCCTAAAAATTAGAGTCTATCTCCCTGCCAGGAAAGGAGTAGATAAAAGCCATTAACTGTGTTTCTCAGCCAAAGTGCTGTAAGCCCAATGGATCCTACTCCTGGAGGATGATGAAGAGAAGAGAGGAAGGGGAAACTGAGGCTATAACTCATCTGAACCCCACTTCCTCCACCTTTCTCAGGTGTCTACTCTCATTCTTCAATTCCTAGCTAACCCTGGCTCCCTTTCTTTAATCACCAGACTCCTGGCTGTGGGTCAGAGAGAATGACACCAGGGTTCAGCAAGAGAAGTTGGTACCACCTAATCTGCCTGAGCTGGGGTTGAGGCCATATTGTTCTTGGATGTTGGCAGTGGAGGTGAGAGTACTGGCTTGGGATTCAGGAGTCCCGGAGTTGTAGTCCTGCTTCTGCCCCTCTGCTAGCAATATGACCTTGGGCAAATCACTTCCCTTTCCTGGGCCTCAGTTTCCCCTTCTCTCAAATGAAGGAGTCCGAATAGATGGTCTGTAAGGTCCTTTCCAACTCTGGTAGCCAAAAATTCTGTGAATCTCAATATTGACATTGGTGTCTCTCCTGCTTCCTCCTCCGAATTCTGGTGGTCCTGATAAGCCAATCATTCAACTAACCCACCCCAACTCCATTGCCCTTCCTGTCTGGCTGGAGGCCAAGCTGGAAGGGAGCTGAGAATAGTACTCAGTGTTGCTTTGATTCAACGGCAGTGAATTCAGAACGAGAAGATCTGGGTCAAATCTCAGCTCTTCCATTCTCCAGCTATGTGACCTTGGACAAGTTCCTTCCTCCTCCCCAGGCCTCAGTTTCCTTCCATGTAGGCTAGAAGATCTCTAAGGCCTCTTCTGGCTCTGACAATGTATGAATATGAGCCGCCCACTTCCAAGCTTTCTGACTGGGATAACCACTTACCCTCATGAGCTGCCCCATGAAGGGAGAATCCCAGAAAGGGGAAGGACTGGGAAGCAAAGACGTCCCCAAGTGTCCCCTTGTTCTTATCTCTGGTCAGAGGCAACCATGGTCCTATGGGCCTCCAGGTCTCCTACCATGTAGCCAGAATGTCAGGGGCAGCACCCAAAGCTTGGTGATGGGCATCACAGCAGATTCAGAATGAGTTTACCTTTCATAGTCATGAGACTGTTTGTGCCCAATCAGGTGCCATGATGACTGGCCATGGGACCCAAGTAGCTAGCCAAGGAACAAGACCACAGATGACAAGAAGGAGAGTCCTGAATCTGGAGCCAGAGGGCCTGGGCTCAGACCCTCACCTCCTAGTTATTACTGACACCTGCCTGGTCCTTCTCTTTGGGTTTCACTGGTATCATAAGGGTCTCGGACTCAGTGATCGCTATTTCATTTCCTGCTCAGAATCCTATATGGTATGGGAACTGAGAAGCAAGAGAGGTCATTGAGGTCTAAGATGGTGAGAGAACATTTCCCAGAGGAGCTGGGCTTTGTGCTGGATCTTGAAACACAGGCAAAACCTAGATAGACAGAGATCAGGGGAGGGCATCCCAGGCAGGGAGACGTGTGTCCAAAGGCATGGAGGTAGGACTATGCCAGGTGTATTGTGACAGATGATAAGGAAGAAAGTTTGAAAATGCAAATAAAGAGGAAAGTGGGGAGAAGAGGTATAGGAGAGGAAAACTCAAAATAAATTTTTTCTGTATATTTCCCGAAAGACAAAAGGATGCAGGTCAAATTTACTTTCTGGAAAAGAACGTAAATGGTCTTGTTGCTGAGGAGGGGTGTGGCCATTTTGAAATCATCCTCGGGCTTGGCATTCCTGGAAGGAGAGGAGTGTCCCTGCCTTTACCATCTGCACCATTTCCCAATCATTCCTTTCCTTCCCAACTGCCCCCTAGCATTCTTCCTCCATTAGTTCCCCAGGGTCTACTCCCCCCCCCTCCTGTAGACACCTAGTCTTGATGTGCTTGGTTCAACCAGTCCCACCCCAAGAACCATGACCAACTTGGGGTCCTAGGGGTCCCTCCACCATGATGGGAGAGGCCCTTTGAAGGTCTCATTGGGCTCAGTCCAAAGAGCCTGGATCCTAGCTACCCCAAGCAGGCATGATTCTGTTTGATTCAATTCAGCTCAGCAAACATTGATTAAAAGACTTCTTTGGGTGGGCCCTAGGCCCACTGGGTGGCAGATATAGGGTCCAGAGAAGCCATAGTCCCTTCTCTTACCCTAGATGAGGAGCCACACTGAAAGGCCTCAGGCTCGGGGGGGGGCGGGTAAGGGTGGAAGAAGGAAGGAGAGGGGAAGCTCTCTGGTACTAGGAAGGCAGCGACAGGCAGTAGGTAGAGTGGATGGTGGCCCAGAGATAAGAGAGGTTGTGAGAATCATGGAGGGAGGGGAGAGGGAGACAAGTGGTACTGTAGTCATTTTCATCCAAGGATATGATGACTAAGATTTCTGATCAGCCAGCGTGAAAAGGATGGAGAAGAGATGAACTAGATGAGAAGTGAGTAGGAGTCAGAAAAGAGGAAAAATTAATTTCCTCCTCCTTCTTCCCAGTCTCCAGCCTGTGGTAGGTGGCACTCACTGAAGGTGACAAGAGGAAATTCTCCCCTTCCTCTCCCTCCATGGGACTTAGGATCACCAGGGAATTACAGCCTAAGAGAGCTCATTAGGCCCCCTACATAGCAGCTGTGAGTCCTCATGGTTCTGAGATACAAGACAATTGTGAAGCAACTTAATGACTTTGTGAATAACCATACTATTAGCTTGGGCAGGATGTGGTCATTCACAGAGTAAACAATACACTTCACAGTTTATCTGAAGCAATATTGAAACCAAAAGGAGGACTTCATTTTCTTTCTGGAACACATGTCCTCCCTCTACAGGTAATCAAAAACTGGGCTAGGGCTGGGCTGGTCACTTTAGATGGGGGAGAGGCAAGAGAGAGGGGGGCAGGATCTATGGACCTAATTGACTCCAAGAGAAAGCCTAGTATCTTACCCAGATAGCTTAACTTTAAAGACAAATGCATTTGAGATCCAATCCCCAGGATACCTCAACCTCACCAGGGCCCACGGCCCTGGTCTGAGATAATGCTTCATTGAGACCTGCCCCAGTAAAGGAAGAATGAGAAAAACTCTCTTTCCCTCTGCCCCCTCCTTCTTCTTGTCCCCCACAGGCAAGCATGTGCCAGCTTAGCAGAGAGATTTCAAGGATACACAGCCTAGGAAGGGAGAAAAGGCCCCGGAGCTGGTCCTGGCCCTGACATGCTGACCCTGAAAAGCCTATTTCCCCAGAGCTATAGCAAGGGGTTCATGAGAGCAGGGCTAGGCTTGGGGCTTTGTCTGCCAGCTTGATCTTCTCTGATCCCAAAGATGACGGTGGGCCAGGATACCCCCCCATCCCACCCCAATACCAAATGCCTAGTTTTCATTGGGGGAAACTTTAGTTACAGCCCTGAGTGTTTCTCTAGACCTAGACTGTGGAATGTATGTCTTGGGCTATAGGAAAATTTTATAGGAGCAGAAGGCCTTAGCCAGGGGTAGGACGCCATAATGGGAGCTGGCCTTATTGACCATGGTGGCAATGGCCAACACGTCTGTAGCAGGGGAACTTTGTAACCTGTATCTTGTTTCTTCTTATTTTATCTTCTTATTTCATACTCTGTCCCTGACCCTCATCTCCATCCTCACACCAACCCATCCTCATCCCAACTCTTCTTCATCCTACCCCACTCTATATTTATCCTCCTCCTACCTCCTCCATGCTCATACAACTCCACTTCACTCCATTATCTCTGCACCCTGGTCCTACCCCTTTATTCACTCTGCATTATCCAGTCACCATTCTACTCTTACCCCACCCTACCCCATCCTCATCCTCCCCCTTTCTCATTCCATCCTCTAACTCTAACCATATCATACTCTCTCATCCTCATGCCAGCCTTCACTCACCCTGACTTCATCCCACCTACCATCAGCTGATTCTACCTCATTCCATCACTATCTCATTCCACCATTGTTACCCAACCTCATTCTCATCCTACCCTTCATCAGCATTCATATCCCAATCTTACAAACGCCACATGATTCTATCTTGACCACCTCATTCCATCACTATTCCATCTCAAGTCACCTTCATTCTACCCACTCTCATTCACTCCCACCCCACTGCATCCCCACTCCATGGTCACCTTACTCCATCATCATCCCGTCTTTTCCTCATTCCACCCATGGTCTCTCCTGTTTAAGCGTCATCCTACCTCATCCCACCTACCCTCATCCTGTTCCAAAGCACCCCGTCCTTGGCTTCCCATATGCCATCCTTTCCTCCCCCTTCCTAGGCTCCAGCCTCTTTTCTGGGTGGTAGCTGTGGTTGAATTTCCACATTTAGAGATGATACCTTCAAAGCAGCCTCTGCTCTGCTCTGCTCGATTACTCTGGGTCCCCCTCATTCCTGTGCCCTATCCCCCACTTCCCCTGTCCCAGGCTCTGAACTAGCCCCAGCTCTGCAGATGTTCCTAGGGCTGGCTCTGCTGAGACTCCCCTCCCCATACCACTTCAGGCCCCTCTCCGCCTCAGGAAAGAGACATGCTGACCTTTGCCTCTATCTCTCTGTGTTTCCTTCTAGGGAATCTGACTAAGCACATGAAGTCCAAGGCTCACAGCAAAAAGTGCCAGGAGATGGGGCTGCTGGTGGAGCTGGAAGCCGAGGAAGGTATGATCCTGCCTGTGCCCAGCCTGGCCTTAGTGGAGATGCCAGGGCTGGGATCCCGGCCATTGGCTCATGGCACAGCCTTGGGGAGTGGGATGGGATGGGTTAGTGCCAGAGCACTGCGCTGAGTCAGGAGACTCAGATGGTCCCATGATCCCCTAGATATCGCCAATATCCAGCTCAGATGCTCTGTGACTGTGACTCCAACTTTGTGGGCCTCAGTTTCCCCTCCCGACAGTCCATGGTTCCAGGCTTCAGTCACCCTGGCCTTTGCCTATTTCTGTCTGTACTTCAAATCCGTGACCCAGATGGGAAGTTCATGTGATCATCTCTAAGCAAGCTTTGTCTTTGCTCAAAATCTTCCTGGTTGGGCAAATTCCAGCAGATGAGATTATCTTGAATTGAGCATGAGTGCCCCCCAGTGGTAAGATCCCTGAAGCTCTCCTCTGGGATCACCAGCTTTTCCTACATTCCAATTTTCCCCAGTGGCTTTTCTGTAGCTTTTCTTCCTGCCCTGAAATTGGGAGTGGAGGAAGATGAGCATGCAGGAGGGCGGGGGGTGGAGTGGAATGAGTTGAGAACAACCCACCCCTATCCAGAGGCTTCAGGAGCCATCTGTGTGCCAGGATGCAGAATCACAAAGAATGTTTGAATGGGATGGGCCCTTAGAAATGGTCTGGACCGGGGGTGGCAAACCTATGGCCTCGACTATGTGTGACCCTCTAGGTCCTCAAGTACGGCCACACTTGAGGACCTAGAGGGTCACACGTGGCCTTGGGGCCACAGGCTCCTCACTCCCGGCTCTCGTCTAATCCCTTAATGTCACAGAGGAGAAAATGAGGCACAGATATCTGCCTCCTCCTCCCCCCTGCCCAGGTCACATAGCTACAAGTGTCGGAAGGATGGTTTGGACCAGGAGTCTCCTGATTCCGGGTCCTGAGCTCCTTTCCCCTAGCTGGCTGCTGTCTCCTATTCTGGCCTATTGTGTTCAGCTCTGAGGCCATGTGGGATGGGGAGGAAGGGACTTTATAGTCTGACGCAGGTTCGGTGGAGGCTGGCCAGGATGGGGAGGCGACTAGATGAGACCAAATGAGGATTGGGTAAAGGAACTGGGGGTGTTTAACCTGGAGAAAAGAAAACTTGGTTGGGGGTGGAGAAGGTGGGAACCCAATCCCTGTCTCAGGTATCCCAGAGGGCTATTTGTGGAAAACTTGTTTTCCTTAGACTCAGAGGATTAAACTTGTTTTCCTTAGACTCAGAGGGAAGAACTAAGAGCAATTAAGGGGAATTTTCAGAGAGGTAGATTTCAGCTCCATAGAAGGGCAAACTTACTGACAGTTAGAACTATCCAAAAGTGGGATGGCCTGCCTGGGGAGGTAATGAGGTTCCCATTGCTAGCCATCTCTAAGTGTAGGTTGAATGGGGTAGCTAGTTATTGAAGTGGATAGAGCACTGGCCCTGGAGTCGGAAGGATTGGAGTTCAAGTCTGGTCTCAGATTATCTGTGTGACCCTGGGCAAGCCATTTAACCCCTCTTGCTTCCCTCCCCCCTCCAAAAAAAAGTACAGGTTGAATGACAATTTGTTGGGGTTGGGATAGAGGGTATTTCTACTGAAATATGAGCTGGACTTTATGCCCTCCCCGCCCCAGTCTCTTTTAATGATGAGATTTTGTGATTCTGTGAAATCACTTCCCTGAGCCTCAGTTTCCCCATATGTAAGAATATGGGCTTGGAATAGATGCTGATGGTGAAGCTGGCATTTATAGAGGGCTTCAAGTTTTACAAAGCATTTAGTGTTATCTTTAAGGTCCTAACATTTTGTTTCCATAATCGTACCTGTGGCGCGAATGGAAAGTTCATTTTGATGATGGAGAAATTTCTTCCCAGCTCAAAGATCTAACATCATTACCCTTCCCTCACCTCCGTTTACATAGAAGGTAACCCAAGCCCAGAGAAGTTAAGTAACTTGCCAAAGGTCACGCAGCAAGTTAGACCCCAAAGAAGGCCTCAAGCCTTGATTCCAAGCCCAGGACTCTTTCCATTACACCACTAGGCTCCCATCCAAAGAAGTACTCTAAGCGCTAGCGACTATTTGATGCCAGATTGTCATCTAGGCCAGTGGTCAGTGGGGTACAGGTTGTACTCTCTTCAGCTTAGAGAGGCCCCCAGTGACCAAGGGCTTAGAGTCATAGAAAAACAGAGCTGGAAGGGGCCTTTGGGTCATCCAAGCCAACTCTATCATTTTACAGAGAAGGAAAGAGAGGCCTGGAGCGGGGCGTACTTTGCCCAAGGCCATGCATCCTTTTGTGAGCTGGACACCATTATTAAGGCCTCTCCTATAAAAGATCCCCTCCATGGAAGAAATTTCTCTTCTGCATGAGGGGCCATCACAGACACCCCTGTATCCCTGGGCCTTTGAGGGGAAGGATGGGGCCTGAGACCTGGTGAGTGGGGAGGCCGGGCACACTTGACCTCATCTGTGCCCCTGACCTTGCTCTGTCTTTCCTTCAGGAGCCAGTGACGACCCCTTCCAGGATTCCGAGGGGCGGGAGGGCTCTGAGGCAGTGGAAGAGCACCAGTTTTCTGATTTGGAGGAATCCGATGAGGAGGAGGACAATGAAGATGATGAAGATGAAGATGAGGAGGAGGAGAGCCAGGATGAGCCCACTCTGAAGCCCTCAGAAGGGCCACCGCCTGCTGGACACTCAAAGGCTAGCTCTCCACCAGCTCAGGACAGAAGCCCCCGAGCAACCCCGTCTTTGCCCCAAGACGTTACCTCGCGTGACCAGCCCACAGCAAGCTCGAGATCGGAGGCGAGATGGCCAGCAGACTGGAGTGAAGCAGCCACCTGCCAGAGCCACTCGTGTCTCCAACAGCCAGCTCTGATACCCCGGGAGCCCTGGGCTCCTGGTGAGCGGGAACTGGCCCCAAACCAGCATGGGGGGATCTTAGCCATGGGCCCGATGTTGAGCTCCCAGGCCCCATCCCCAAGAAGGCTGTGGTCCCCTGGCAAAGAGCCCTGCGACAGCAGACCCATGGTCCCCCGAAAACACTCACTAACCAAAAATGAAAGTCCTTCCCAGCGCTTTGCACCAGCTGGAGAAATGCCATCCTTCCAGGGTGGCTCTCCTGGGAGAGGAGGTTCACCCAGTCCATGGATGGCATCTCCTCTCAGGTGCACGTCACCCTCAACTCACTTGTCCCCAACAAGAGAACTATCCCCACAAGCCTATCTCCCACCCGAGGGCAGGGTCTCTCCAGAGAGGAACTTGTCTCCCAGCCAGGAGATGATCCCTATAAGACACTCATCCCCCAGGAAAATGTCTCCAGGACTTTCCGAGTCCCCCCCACGGTACCCACTGCCAGGGGAAAATGACTTAGTGTTCAGAAGTGGCACAGTAGCGGATGAGCAAACCCTGGGCAGTGTTACAGTTGCCCAGCGTGGTTTCTTCTCTCAAAAGCCTCTACCTCACAAGCTCCTTGGCAAAAACGTGGAGACCTCGGAATCCAAGATGGTGAGTTATTGTGCTCTTTCAGAGGGTTTTCCTGGGATCTTCTTAAGGGCAGCATTTTTTCCTGCATTTAAGATATTGCCCCTTAGGGGTATAAAAGGAGAAAGAAGTTAGGAAGGGGGGAGTCATTCGCAGAGGTTGTTTCCCTGAGCAAGATCAGAGTAGCAGCCTCTCCCCATAGGTTTAGCATTCAGCCTGTGTAGTTGAGTTTCCAGTCCTTAATTGTTCTTATGGATACGTTAAAGAATGAATACCGTATCCTAAAACTATTATCACCATCGACACCATGAGCACTGTTCATGTCCTCACTATCACTCCCACCATCATCCTCATTCTCACCATCATCCCCATCATCATGATGACCATCTCCTCCCGTAACATCATCATAAGTACTGTCCCCAGCCCCGTTATCACTGCCTTC